CTTCTGAATAACTGTCAGCTCCATTCTCAACAGGAGTGCCCACTGAACGACCTTAAGGACCTCTTTGAGCTGGGTTTCTATACGGTATCTACTGGATATCCCAGGAGACACATGGCGGAAAAAGGCCTTAAGAAGTTAAAAACTCTCATGTCTAAACCCAAAGGATATCATTCTAGGATAACTTGAAAAAGGAATGAGAATTTAAAAGGCCTTTGGGATGATTCCTGAGAGTGGCATAGAGAGATGAACCCAAAGTGGCCCATGGAGACTGTTTTCAGTGGATGGAGATCTCTAAAGCGAGTGCTCCCCAGACAGATTCTTTTCATCTTCTTTGCCAGGACTGTCTGGTATGGCAGACTCTCTCAGATAGTGTGGCTCTTTCTGTAGGCAGAATCAGGCAAGGCCCCTCAGTGCTTTCTGGCAGTAGGCTTTAGTCACAGGCAACACTTTCAGACCGTTGGTGTCTTTGGGTCTCTAAGTTTTGTTTTGTTTTGTTTTGTTTTCCCAATTAATTCATAAATCGGGGCCACCTAGTGCCATGGTGGTTAAGGCAGCTAGATAGCACATAGCTGACTACGCATTGGGCACATGTACATGCATGCTCCAAATCCTGAGAGGAAAGTGGAGAAGATGAGATTACAGCGTGGCCATTTTCCCGGGGGTGGGGGAGGGGCTTTTTCACATTCCCTGTCCTCTCTCTGTCTCTCTCCAGCAAGTGCACATACCCTATAGCAAACTTAAAATCATAAGTGGAGTTCCGGAGTTTATTTTTAATTCCTTTTCTTTCTCCCATTTTCATAAAAAAAAAATGAGTTCTTGATTTTGCTTTAGGGCAAGACACACTGGTTTAACTTTCTCACAGAGATCAACTATTAAAATTCCAGTTGAATAGACTCCTCATAGGGCCCCAGATGAAAGTGTGTTTCTCAGATGGAAGAGTTGGAGTAGAAACAGAAACTAATAGGCAGGCACCCAAGTCCCTTGAAGGAGTCCCCAACAGGGTAATTTTATTATACAATAATAGATAACTAATTTTTTTGTGTTTATTTATTTATTTATTTATTTAGTCATAGGGTGTGTGCGCCTGCTGGAGAGGAGAAAGACAGAGAGAAGGAAAGTGAGAAGTCACCCCAGGGGGAGTGGCCGTGCCACAATCCCTTCTACTCCATTCTCCTCTTGGTATTCTGGTCATGTATACACATGCACTCAGCCTGGTTGTCAAGCCACCAGGCTGGGACTCAAACTGAGGTCAACCATATGGGAGTCCAGCACTTTAACCATTATGCCACCTGATAGTCCTTGTTTTTGATTTCTGAGGTAGACCTAGCATCAGGAAGACCTAGGCTCCATGGAATGACAACTCAACTTTGTCTATCTTGTGTCAGGCTCTGTTCTAGGTGCCTAGGTACTCAAACTCATTTGACAATAAGGATCACCTGAGGCTCTGGTTAAACATATAGATTTCTAGGTCCCATATCTTGTTTTGGGGTGGAATCCAGGAATCAGTATGTTTAAGTAGCACCCCAGGTCATTCTTACCATCAGGCAAATTTAAGAAATACTGTGTAATGGGATGCAAAAATAAATGAGATGCCAACCTTCCTTGGGAAATAATGCACGATAGAGAAGTGAATTGATGCACAAAGCTACTGTGAAGAGAGGCACTAAGTAAGGAAGGTGAGAAAAACATCGGGGGAGTTAAGGAATGCTTCCTGGAAGAACTGACACAGGAGAAAGATCTCAAAGATTGGGTAAGATCTCAGAGAGCAAGACAGTAAAAGAAGCAGTGTGATAATAATCGCTTGCATTTTTCAGGTGCCCTCTAGGTGCCAGGCATTGTGCTAAGCATTTTACTTGCCTTATCTTATTTCATCTTCCCTACAACCTTCTGAAGTAGGAGCTATTGCCAATTTTAATTTACAAAGGAGGAAAGCTAGGCCCTGGTGCCCATGCTGCCATGGATACAGAGCCAGGCAGGAGAAGGCAGCTGACTCCAAATCCCATGTGTTTACCTGCACCCTATTTCATGCCCCAGGCAGGGCACACGAGACTCAGAGATGTGAGATGTGAAAGTGTTGCTTTTTTTTTTTTTTAAACAAATGACAGGAGAATGAGTCCAGGGAAAAAAATGGGTCAGAAGATACTGCATAAAGTGTTGGAACCAGGCAGTGACTTCCTAATGCAAGCTCAACTCATTCATTTTGTGAATGCAGAAAGGGAGCCCCAGAGAGGTTATATGACTTGCGTAGTCACACAGCTTGATAGTGGCAAAGTGTACCAAAGGTCCAGAGCCCAGGCAGAACCTTTCCATTACGGACAATTAGAGGCCAATCTTGGATTGATTGTGGATGGACGTGTTTATAAGGAGGTCTGAGCTATTCTATAGGAGAGATCTATACAGTTTTGAACTGCATATCAATGGTTTGGCCAGCAATAGATTATATGTACCTTGGTGGTCTATGAAGATTATATTGACTAGGTGTGGAGCAGGCTATGTTATCTAGATTTGTATAAGTATACTCTATGATATTTGCACAATCGTGAAATTGTCTCACTACACATTTCTCAGTATTTATCCCTGTCATAAGAGCTGCATGGCATGAGGCCAGCAGGTGACATGGTGGTTAAGACTCTGGACTCCCACATGGCAGACTGTGGTTCAAGTTCCCTGACCTGGAGGCTTGCTTTCTCACTTTCTCTCTCTCTCTCTCTCTCTCTCTCTCTATGTCTCTAGTGAGCGCATGTGCCTTATAGTAAATTTAAAAATAAATAATAATAATAGACAAAATTAAATAAATAATTCTTAAAAAATATTTTAAAAAGGTGATGGCAGTATATGTAAGAATATATCTTGCCTATAGTAAAAAACATATATATATATATGTATATTACAAGTATATATACATGACATACAATCTATATTTTTAAGTGAAGAAGTCAGTATATTCACAATTCTGTATAACCATCACCATCACCCATTTCCAGGACTTTTTTCTTATTCCACACAGAAATTCTGAACCCATTAAACAATAAACAAATCATGCCATTCTTTGGCCCCAACCCTTAGTAACTAAATTCTATGTTTTGACTCTATGGATATGCATAATCTAGACACATTATATATGAGGGGACTTCAAAAAGTTTGTGGAAAAAATGAAATTAAAGTATAAGTTTATTGCAGTGTAAAATGTTGACATCTAAGCATAGTTTTTTCATAATATGCATCAAAGCCCTCCACATATAGAATCATATAATATTTGTCTTTTTGTGACTGGCTTATTTCACCTAGCATAATATTTTCAAGATTCACTTCCTCTTTTTTTTTTTTGCACATTATACACACACACACATATATATACATATATTTGGATAGTTTTTTTTTTGCTATAGGGTGTGTGCACTCGCCGGAGAGACAGACAGAAAATGGGAAATCACCCCCCCACCTCCACCGAGAGATGGCCAAGCAGTCCCTTTTCCTCTACTATCCTGTCTGGATTTTGGGTATGCACGCACATGTGCCCGGCGTGAGTTCAAAGCCACTGGATCCAGAACTTGAACTGCGGTTGACCACAAGGGAGTCCAGCGATGTAACCGCTACACCATCTGCTGGCCCCTTTTTCACATCATACTTACCCCTGTAACCATTTCTAAGTGTACAGTTACCAGTGCGTAGGGACTAGCACATTTATAATGCCGTACAACTGCCACCACCACCTGTCTCCAGAATTCTTTTCATTTTGTGAAACTGAAACTCTGTACCTGTCAAATAGCAACTTCCAGTTCTCCGTCCCTGATTCCGTGGGAACCAATATTCTACTTTGTGTCTGTATGAACTTGACTCCTCTAGCTCCTTCATTTAAATGGACACATATCGTAGTGTGTGTGTGACTGGCCTATTTCACTTAGCGTAATCTCTTCAGAGTCGATCTGTGTTGCAGCATGTGTCAGCATTTCCTTCCTTCTAAAGGATGAATAATATTCCTGTGTGTGTATCACTCTTCACCCATTCATCGATCAATGAACTTGGGTTACTTCCATGTTTTAACCCTTGCGAATGATGTGAACTGTTTTGAACACGGAGGTACAAACATCCCTTTGAGAGCCTACTTTCAATTCTCTTCCACCCAGAAGTGGAAATGCTGGATCATACGGTATTTCTATCTTTTAATTTTTTGAGGACACACCATGCTGCTTTCTACAGTTCCTGCACCACTCTCCATTCCCACTAACAAGGCACAAGGGTCCCAATTTCTCCACATGCTGGGGGACACTTACACGTCATTCCTTCTTAAGACAGAATCGTAATCAATTGTTCTCATAAAAACCAATGTGTTTTGTTTATTATTTAGTTAATGTATGTTTGGGATATTTCTGCCTTTAGGTTATTGTCACAACACTGCTCTGAACACTGGTGTACAAATGTTTGAATTTCTGCTTCCAGTCTCTGGGATTATATGGCGTTGGAGTGGACTTGCTGGATCATGTGACAATTCCATGTTTAAGTTTTTCGCTAAAAGATTTTGAAGATGCCTGGCCTCTGTTAGTCATCTCTGGTCACTCCAGCCTTCTGAACTGTTATCCCTGGGTGGTGGTGGTGGTGGTGTGGCGGGGAGTCCTTCCTCTGGCCAGGGTGTGTACCCCCGTCTCTCCCTTGTACCCTCCCTGCCCTTCGCTCTCCAGAAAGCAGTTTTCCGAGCCTTTTTTAGCAGAAGCACCGGCAGCTGACAGTGAAGATGACCTGGTGTGCAGCTGGCTCGCTTGAGGGGACAAAGTTGAAAGGGTCCCAGCGTGTCCTGTGAGGGCGGTGTTGTGGGCGGCAGGGAGGCTCCGCCCGGTCCTTTGAAAGCTCTCGGCTACGCTAGGCCGTGTCCACCCACTCTGGCGGCGGCGCTGGGCTGCCAAGGTGAACGCGCGGAGCAGTCGGCTTGCCCGCGGCC